GGGTGTGTGTCTTTTCTCCCAGGTAACTAGTGATAGAACAAGAGGCAATGGCCTTAAGTTGCTCCAAGGGAGGTACAGATTGGGTGTCAGGAAATAACTTCTTCACTGAAAGGGTTCTCAGGCACTGGCATGGGCTAACTAGGGAGGTGGTTGAGTCACCTTGCCTGGAGGTGTTTGAAAGAGGCTAGGTGGGGTGCTCGAAGATATGGTTTAGTAGTGGGCAGGCACAGTTGGACTCCATGATCTCAGAGGTCTTTTCCAACCAGGCAACTCTATGATCCTGTGAAGTCTCAGACCTTAGGCTACAGGCATAGGATAGACATGATCATACTGCAGAGTTTCTTGCTTGCCCAGAGGGGATTGGTTTGAGGGAACTACAAAGAGAATGGTGACAGTACAGAGGTTGTTCAGGGTGGCAGAGAAATGCTAACAGATTCAAAGCTCCATCTGAAGTAAACTGGCTTAGCCTTTGCTCTATTCCCTTTCATTTCTGCTTAATTTCTGGCATGAACATAGGCTCCCCATATCTATGTTGCATGCAATCAGAGGTAACCTTTCTGTGTTATTCACCTGTTCCTCTTATACACAACCTGTTCTTTCCAAAAGGCAGCTGAAGAGGGAGGATAGGACTGAAGTGCAGTTGTCAGTGTGAAATCCTTTGTTATCGTTATTAATTCATGGATTATGTGCACAGAAGACTGTACATCTGCATTTTTACTTTAAAAGATTCAAAGAACAATTTACCAAAGTTGCTTTGAGACATGTTCATAACACATATTGAGCTTTTATGGGGGAGGTTCTATGCATGTACAAAGTGCTAATGTAGAATTACTGCACACAAGTTTTTTGGGATTAAGTTTTGTCCCTATATGGCCAAATTATCAATGGTTTATCAGGAAGACTTTTATTAATCTCTTTAAATGCATCTTTTCTAATATAATTTCATATATTCTATTCTTTTGTGAAGTAGAGGGTGACTGTTCCTAAGACACTGCTGATTAGAGAGAGAAAACTGTAGTAGAAGTTTGCTTTATCCCTTGTTTACTTGCATGGATTGAAAAGAATTAAGCTTTTAATTGTAGAAATGTAGACATGAATGTTTATAATTAATTTTATATTTGCTCTGTTTACTCTACTGTCAGGTGTGCTGTCAAAGCTGGGTAGAAAAGATGAAAATCCGTATGCACCCATAAATCTTCTAGCTGACTTTGCTGGCGGAGGCGTCATGTGCGCAATGGGCATTGTTACAGCCCTTTATGAACGTACCAGATCTGGCAAAGGGCAGGTCATTGATGCAAGTATGGTAAGTTTGGTCTCGAGGAAGGTGGGGTTTCTTAGGTTTGCTTGGTTGTTTTTTTCCTAAGTCTGTAAAAGGGAGGAACCCAGAGCTATTTGTGAGGTTTAAAACTGAGAACTTGGGAAAGGGAAAGTAAGTAAGCTTGTAAAATGGCGGCGTGTCTTCACCTTCACATATCACTGGTGCCATAACATCCTTATGACATGGGACACATACTGTGGCTTTCCCCCTGTGCCATTCTCTATCTTCCCTCTTACCAGTCTGCCTTCTTCGCAAAGCATTAGCAATATATATTTGATGAGTAAGTTTGTTTTTTGGAAACAGGGTGTATAATAAACAGTTAACTTCATGCATCACAACAAAAATTATCATCCTAATAAAATAAAGAATTGCATTAGCTTTATCCAAGATACATCTGCTTATGAATTTGTGAGAGGTCATGTCTTATTAGAAGCACTGTCCCCTCAAATAATTACACTGCCATGGATTATTGCCATAAAGCCAATTTCAAACACTTTGTGTTAATGTGCCGTAAAAGAAATGAAACGCTAAATTAGCTTTATAATGAATGCTATGGATTTTTTCACTGCAAGACCATCCACTTACACACGGAGCAAAAATACATATTTACATTTATCCCTGAAACCTATTATTATCTGCAGGTTTTTTTTAAATTTCTTTCTGGTTTCGTTTCTAAAGGGCATTGTAATTAAAACTGGACCTCCCTTCGAGGTGTTGGGATACAGGGAAGGCTATGATTTGGACTTCAATGTAAATTGCCAAAAAAAAAAAAAAGAATTGAAAAAAATCCCTTTGTTGAAGAGGTCTTGAAAGTAGGAGAATTGGAAGAGGTGTTAGCTATCTTGACTTGAGTCAGTTTTTGACAAATTTGCATTACAGTCTCAGAAGCAGTCAATAGCATTATGGTCTAGCTGAAAATTCTGTAAGATCACTGCAAAACTGGTTTAATGTTTTCACCCTGACAAGAGTTATTAGCAGTGGGTTGTCAAAATGAAAAACTTATCAAGTGAAGTTCCACAGACTTTTTTTCAGTGTTTTCTCCAGTAAGCTGAATGATGGATGAGCAATTGTGTTTAGCAAATTTGCAGATGGTATTCATGTGGGAAGAACAACGAGTGTGTTGGACACTTGGATTAGAATTGAAAATGACCTTTTCAAATTGGAGAAATGACCTGAAAAAAATTGGCTGAAATTCATTGAGACCGCTGCTCTGTGGTTCTCTTAGACAGAAACAATTAGCTGCACAAATGCAGTGTGAGAACAATTGGCTGAAGTACAATCCTGGGGGTTTGTAGTAGTCACAAGCTGAACATGAGTCAACAATATCGTGCTGTTATAAAACACACATACACTGTATTAGGTTGTATAAACAGGAAATAGAGCCAGCAAAGTTTCTGAAGTTATTCTAATCTCTTTCAACATTTATAAGGCCTCAGGAAAAGACTGTTTCTGATGCTGGCCATCATCTTTCCAAAAAAAATGACCAATTTGAGGAAGTCTGAGAAACACAAAAAAAAAAAATTGATTGTGAGTCTAAAAACATGACCTACAAAGGAAAATTGAAGGAGTTTGTGTATTTGTGAAGCAAAAGCTGTGGAGATTTGTGACAAGTCTTCAAATATTTAAAAATATATTTCTTGTAGTTTGGAGTATTACCATGTTTTCACTATTGATACTTTAAGTCGTTAGAAGAATTTGTTACGAGAAGAATCAATGTAAGTCTGCTAATTTCCTAATGAGATCTCTGGCTCATTGGGAATGGAATGTGTTGTGGTTTTTTGTGGGGGTTTTTTAAGCCCTCAAAACGTCTCTCTTTAACTTTTTTCTTGTCTCATACTTGTGGAATTTACAGTTCCCCACTGATGTTCCTGGTGTCCTGTGAAATGGATGGAATATTGTCCAGCATCACTGGATGTACTTTACCTGGCATTTTGTCATGTTTCTTTCACTTGAACAGACTTCCAGTGAGACAGTTGATGAAAAACATACATGCATCATCAACAGCAGACAGTTAAATAGACTGGGTTGATGAGGCTGTTTTTATATCTAAGTTTGTTTCATGGAAGTAGATGTTTTTAAAATCACAGTACCGCAGCATTTCAGCTGCCATTCCATTTTACCATTCTTTTTTTTATTTAATAGGCCTATTACTTCAGTTGTTGTACAGTTTAGGTAGTCTTAATATGTTAATGACTCCAACACATGGTGGAATTTTCTATGGTAGAGGAGGGAAGATGAATTGCTTTTTTAGCAGCTTTGTGTCATCAAGATTACTTCTATTAAGTTTTCATCTTCTTTGATTGTTTTACTGACCACTTGTTTGTTTTTTTTCCTTTTACAACAATGTCTATTTTTCTGAGGTCATCTAAAAAAATAATTATTTCTTGTCTTTGAGGTTAGTAATTCTTGATTGAGGTCCACATTTTTGTGATAGAAGAATTTGTTATTTATCTTTTACTTCTAATTAGTATGCTGAAAGTTGAAAAATTGCTTGGGAGCATTCTTATAATCAGTAATGTACACATGAGGAACTGCTCTCATTAGTGAAGCTAAACTGATGCAAAAAAAGGCTAAAGAAGATCAGACCAAGGGCTAGATTTGCATCGCCTGTTCAGGGTGTCCAGTGTTATTGTTGCTCTGCATAAAAAGTAGACACTGGGCCCTGTGTTTCAGCTGTCTACCTCAGAAGAATTAAATCACTGCTCTGATTGCTGTCTCTTCTCATTGACTCTGTAGGGATCGTAGGTATCTTGCAGTGAGCCTGATAGTTCCTGTCTGCTGAGTAGGATGTGGAGTGGACACGGCGGTGTGATAGGTCGGCACAATTGTACATCTGCAGTCTTGCACCACACTGGAACAGAGGCGTGTGAGTCAGGGCCACACTTTTAAGTTCACTCCAAATGCAGACACTGAGCCTTCCACTGATGGTAGGCATCTGACCAAGCGTGACTCACTCTCTGTGAAAAGACAGCCACAGAAGAAGATGGTGGTAATGATCACTTGCATAATAGTCTCATGGCAAGAGCATTTAGGCTGTCCAACAGGAAATTGGGGTTCCAGGTTTTTCTCAGCCTGGAGGTATTCAAAACCAAAACTCCCACATCCTAGAAGAATTCATCAGTCACGAGGATAAAGATTAGGTTGGTGTGGATTCATTCTCCATTTTGTTTGAATTATTTCACTCTGCAGAAAGAACTGAAGACTTGTGGAGCAGACTGGTCACCCAGCAGGGTGGTGCCTCTGGATTCTTGTCTGTGCCTCAGAGACTGCTGGTGCTCTTAGCATCAGGGAGCCTTTAAGTAATCATTCTGCAATTAGGCTTAAGTGGATTCTCCCCATGTTGTCCTTTTCATGTTTCAAAAGAAAGTGACCACATTAGTGTGTGTCATGTGCTTTGAGCCTGTCTTTGGAGGTTTGGTTAGGATGTGAGATGCCTTTTTGCTTGTCTCTTGAGTTGCAGTAGATCTCAGGCAGAAGCTAGCTGTCCAGTTGCTCAGCCAGGGATATTTCTGAAGTCCCTATGCTAGTCCAAAACAGAGCTATTTTATTTTAAGTGTTTCCAGCTTAGGTCACTGTACGTAGGTATTGTGATTAGTTCTGTCAGCACCAAAACCTAATTTGCAGTTAGAGCTTATTCTGGTATTATCCTCATCTATTAATATACTTACTTCTGATGTTTTTTGTGTATTTTTTTGTTAATATGAGCAGTGCAAGATCAAATCATTAGTAAAGTAAAAACACTGTTTTTATATCCTTGCAATCATTTTGCAAACATCTAGATGATGTACTCATATGAAAGCACTTTAATTTACTTCAGCGTATGATCAGTAGGGCAGAGGTATTTCCGTCCTTGTGGCAGATACTTGAGAAAGAGGCTAATACACATTAAATGAAGAAACCTTTGTGAGTGCATATTTCAAAGAAACGCGTGTTTTAAAATCTTGCTTAGAAAGAAACTAATAGGTCTTTCCACATGAAAATTCAGTAGCTTTTTATTTTGGTACAATCTCTGTGCTTTTCTCTATCAACAATATTAGGTTAATTTTACACAGTTGAAAATGTGAATCGAAATGATGCCCAAAATGATACAGCTCAGATCTTTCTCTGTTGGACTGTCTCTGGCCATATTGTGTTACTGCCTCATCCTCTCTTACAGTTTGTGTAATGCAGTTGGAAGAAAATGGATTCCACTGGTGAGCCAAACTGTAGGATGTGATTTTGCTTGAAAAGACTGGTACAAGCTTGGTAATTATTGAAAGGCTGAACAAACTGAATTTTCATTTGGTTGTACTCCACATAACCAAAATTTTAAGGAGCAAATTGGAACAAGATTAATCATGGTTTCTAGTGCTGTATTCATCAGACACTTGTGTATTTAGAGATTACCTTGCTATGTTTATGTACTTGTCAGTGATGAGAGTGGGAGAATAATTTTTGTTTTAACTTACTGATGGAGGTGAGCTTCCCAGTTCCCATGGTATAAGACAGCTTTAACCTTTGATTGCCTTCCAGTTTTCTTCTAAAAATAGCAGTCTTATTATAATCAGTAAATTCAGAGAAGTGAATGTTGAGATAAAAATTTGATACTTACAGGATTGGTATAGGCATCTTGATTTCCAGACATGTAGAAGCCTTGATAGCTGTCAGATACTTAATGTTCTGTAGAGCCAAGCAACTTGTCCCATCACCTAAAATGACTTACATTCTCTGTGTGAACTCCTAATGATTATAAACTTGCTAAACTAGAAAACTGGAGGTGTTGGAAGTTTGTTATCCATCTGAAGCTGCATTATTACATTTATGCCTCTTCTTTTTCTCTAATTTTAGATTATTTCACATATGCAGTATAAACAGTAATTGAAAATTTTAAGAAATTAAACTGCTTGTCAGAGATTTTGTCATTAAGAATCTTAACAAAGGACAGAACTGGTATTAGTTTTTGTTGGTTTGTTTCATGTAAAATTGGTAACATGCCAACTAATTTACTGAAACTGTTACTTTTTCCTGTAAATATTCAAGGTGGAAGGAGTAGCATACCTAAGTTCTTTCCTGTGGAAATCACAAAATTTGGGACTTTGGAACAGATCTCGAGGTGAGAACCTGCTAGATAGCGGTGCGCCTTTTTACGAAACCTACAAGACCTCCGATGGAAAATTCATGGCTGTTGGTGCCATTGAGCCTCAATTCTACGAGCAGTTAATAACGGGTAAGTAGCTTGGAGCAGTTGTTTCCTATCAGCAAAGCATGATTGAGTGAATTCTTTAATCCTTGATTTTGATTCATGACATTGGTTGTGTTTGCTTCCTTGTAAAAGCCAAACATTACTTGAAACTAACTGGGTCATAGTGGATCAGTTTAGTTTACTTTCTTCTACCATGGATTGGTTTTTTTTTTCATCCCTTCTTCACCTTACCCTCAGAAACTACACTGAAATTACAGGTTTTCTTCATCAGTTACGGTCATGGTAGTCTGTGGCATATCTGAAGCACTAAACAACTATTTTTGGAAAATGCTTTTTTCAAAGGATTGCGAATATACTTTAAAAAGGACACCTAATTCTTTGGTGTTGCAAATAAAATTTCAAGCAGTTTCAGTTATTTGTGCTTTTTTTAAAAAAAATAAACTTTTAAAATTGTTTCAGAAATTAATGTTCATTGGAAGTAGTTCATAATATTTCTTGATAGAATGGAATTTTTTTAAAAGCAAAGTCAGCTTTATAAATTAATATCCACCGCACAGTTTCAGAATGCTTTTAGTGTCCAGCTGTGGATATAATTTTTATATTTGGCTGAAAACTCTTTAAATATGACTATAAAATATGATTTATCTGTTTGAGAAATTAGAGTGGGGCATGCAAAATAATTGTGTGAAGTTTAAACAGAAATTTGCGGATGCATCTTTACCTTTGAACTGTTTGTGTGCTCCAAGCTTTTGATCAGATGTGCTCTTAACTTCTTTCTGGTTACTTAATTTAAAAATAATTTTTTCTGTTGTGCTCCTTTGGTAGGTTGCTATGTTTTCCATATGGAATTTATGAAAATACACAAAATTCACAAAATGATTTGGTATTTATTCTCTCTGCATTATTTCTGAATACGAAGGATATAAAAAGTTCTCAATCTAATTTTAGTTTTGCCTAATGACTAGAAGGAATACCAACAAAGGATACACCTGAAGTGGAGGTACCAGTGTTATGTGAACCCCTTTTGTACATCCATGAGTTGCATGTTACAAATCTTTGCTGAGTGAGGGTGGCAGTGGAGTAGCTCCTTATTCTTGCTCAGTCTCTCACCACTGATTATTCCTGGAATTGTAGCATGCATACTGATTTCAGTTGGGACAGAGTTAAATTTCTTCATAGTAGCTTTGATGGGGCTATATTTTGGATTTGTAACACTAATATTTTAGTTACTTCTGAGCAGTGCTTATACAGCTTCAAGGACTTTTGTGCTCCTCACGGTGCTTCACCAGTGAGTAGGTTGAATGGACACAAGAAGCTGGGAGGGGGCACAGCCGGGACAGCTGAGCCCAACTGACCAAAGGGATATTCCATACCATATGACATCATGCTCAGCAGTAAAACTGGGGGGAGGTTGGCAGGGGGCCACTGCTCAGGGACTGACTGGGCATCAGTCAGTTGGTGGTGAGCAATTGTTTTCATTTGCATCCCTTGTCTTTCTTGGGTTTTGTTTTCCTCTTTCTTTGTTATTATTTTCTCTCCTCTTTTCCTTACAATTTGTATTATTATTTATTTGTAATTATTAAACTGTTGTTATCTCAACCCATAAATTTATTTCTCACATCCTTCCAATTTTCCCCTCATCCCACTGAGGTGAAGGGGTGTGAGCGAGCAGCTCTGTGTTGCTTAGTTGCCAGCTGGGGTTAGACCATGACAGTTCCTCTCACAGGCAGTTACTTAGCCAGCTCAGCCATAGTCAGCTACGTTTTGCTGACAGGAGCATAGTCAGTGCCAGGGCCTACACTTCCAGGAGTTTTTGAAATTCAGGAGCAGGGTAAGATGAAATGAAGGTATGGGGTTGTAAGGTGGGGTATGCCTTTGGTGAACAGGATCCCAAAGAGAGATCTTGTTCTGTAAGGTTTGGCTTTGTTCTCTTGCAACCTGTGGTGTTCCCAAAGAAAGTTCTTGCACATCTCTGGCTGTAAAGGGCTGCTTCTCTGTGTAGCTTAAAAAGGGCTGTGCAATTGCCTAGAATATCCAAATTGGTATGTGCTGATACATGAAATGCATAAGGCAGGGTCCTGGAGTGAGTCAGGGACATGTCCAGCATTATGTGCTGTCCCTAGATCAGATGTCGAGTTTGGAAGAGACATGTCCTTGGCTGAAGAAGTGGGAACTTTGTCCTTCATTGTCCTGAGAATAACTTGTTTGCCAACTGCAGTTCTAACTGCAGTTCTTGATCTTGAAAAAGAAAGTATAGCTGATTATTCCACACTTTGCAGTACTTTGAAATGTTATTCTCCAGTCTCTTGAGGTTTTTTTGCTTGCAGGAAATGGAGCTGGAAGACAAAAATAAATATAAAACTGTATCAAAGTAAAATGTAAACCATTGGTCTGGAAGTTAGGGAATTTGGAATTCCAATATATGTCTTCAGGGAGAATGCCTATATTAAATACAAAGGAAAAAAGAAAAGAATAAAGCTGCTTACTCAAATACCCATATGTTTGGCTTGAAATGATCAAACCCTGGCCTGCAGTATTCATGGCTGCACTATTTTATTCTTCTCTAGAGATTAAGTTCAATAGCATGTACTTTTAAGCTACAAGTGGGATGGAATCTATATTTGTTAAAAAATAAAACAAATTCTGTAATGGAGTCTGGTCTTGTTTGTCATTTTTCTTCTCAATGAACCTTTGCTGGATGCTTCAGCCTTCTTCTGATTGTCATTGCTACAGGGCAAGACTTGGGCTTTTCTCTTCTAACCAGCCAGACAGCTTATCTAGAAAGAAGCCTGTGATGGGTGAATGCAGTGGTCAGGCAATGTAACATAATTGTTGGCCCGTCTCTGATATTTAGATAACTCTTTGCTAAGGAAAATAATAAAATTCTCTGTTTTCATCTTAGTTATTTCTCAGAAATGTAGAGCATAAAGTTGGAGCAGCAACTATGAATTCATCTGCCTGTATTGGGGCATCCACATCAGACAACTTTATTCCTTGTGCTTACAATGCACAGAAATGGCTTGATTTTAACAGCTGAAGTTTCAGAAATAGTTATTCCAGCTATAAAGATCAGGTGTATCTGTTTTTAAGTAGGCCACAAGTGTAATCACAGCTGCGCTTGTGTTTCAGACTGTTTCTGCCATATTTTTAAAATCCAGCATACAGACTACAGTCCTCTAAGAAAATTTTGCTTTTTGCCTTAATTGTATCACAATCCTTGCTTGCTTACAGTCAGTAATTTTTGTTTGTTTATTTTGTGGAAGTGTGTAGTTTAATGTATCAGACTGAACTCAAGATTTTTTTGCAATACATTTAAAATAAGTGGACTTTCTTCATTGTATTTTAGGTGCATATTATGAATTGTTCAGATTTTCACATAAGAAATATTTATCACCTTCAGTAGTTATGGTTGCAAGCTTTCTGAAGCAGTAGCATACTAAAGTTGAACAGCAGATCCTTCTTGTGGCTTAGGGATTTTTTTCTTTCTGGGATATCTGTTGCAGAAATGCAGTTAGGGATTTAAGCCTTTGAATGTTATAGGCAAGAAAAAGCTGCTTGTGAGAATTGTATTGCTCTTTGACAAACCCGAGGAGCTTTGACTTGGGCTGAGTCATCTGTTCAAGGCATTAATTCCCTACTTTGAAGTAGTTTTAAAATGGTATGTTCCAGTTACAGTTTCCATAATTTTATTTCATACTTTTTTCCCGTAATTCTGATCCGTTCTGCTGGTTTACAATTTGGTGCTCTTCCAGATAAAATACGTTCAAAAGCCGCTTTCTGTGTCTCTGTCCATATTCAGAGAGTAGGTTACTTTTACCACTCCTATATAATGAGAACAGAAGGATATGGGTGTTGCAGATGTAAGAGTTGGAGATTTAAAGATTGAAGAATTGAGAAAGGACATGATTTCTGAACCATTTGTCACTGCTCACAGGATTCTAGTTAGCAGAAGTGAAGTTAATTTCCTTTTGGTTTTAGTTCACTTCAGTGTTTCCCTGAAGAATTAAACCCAGTGCTGGACCAAGGTGCAGTTAATGAAGTTAATGACATGGCAAGGAAGGTTCTGAAGGGGTCTGCAGATGGAAACTAAGTTTAAGAAAATACAGCGTCTTAGTTAGAGGAGATTGTTGGCTTTGTAGATGATGCTCAGCAGGGAAAATTAAGTTTCTGCTTATCACAAATTTATTAATTTTTTTAAAAAATGGTTATATGGGAAACTGAAACTATATAAAATAGAAATGGTAAATAGTTGCTGTAGCAGCTCTAGTATTAGAAGTTGTATTCTGGCTCACTATAGACTATTTGCATCTTATGAAAAATCTGATTTAAGAAGCATGTGCTACTAATGTCAAGTCTCAATGTTTTGATAAAAAGAGACAGAATGTCTTCCAACCGACCTGTAAATTGCTGCTGCATGTTTCTCTTATTTTTTAGCAGTATGTGCTTAGTATTGCTGTAGCCAGGCTATAAGAGGCCTGCAGAGCACAGTAAATTTTGTGTATCAGTTGAGAAGTAAAGGTGTGGTTCTGTGTTGGCATGTCATGTAAACTCGGTTACATAAGGTAAACTTACTATCAGTTTCCATTGATGTGAAAAGCACTAACAGTCACTGAAGTTCTGAACACATATTTGATAGTACTCCTTTCATACTACTTTGGTACTCCTACATTGTGTGACTTCTATTTAAAAGGAAGTAAAAAAAATTAGGAAGCACTGGAAAAACAAACATAGTTTACATCATCATTATGAAGGGTTTCCACAGGGCTCTCCGTTTTGTGGTTGTAAAGTATTGTGTACTATATTAAAAATCTGCTAATGCACTGAATTCAACACAACGTTATTAAGACGTGCACTCTGGACGAACAGTTTCCTCATTACATTTTAGACACCTTTAGTTACATACAATATTAAGTTTTATTTTAATTTATTTATCATGATAAGCCTTAAACATTGTACAAATACTGCAAAGGTCCAGGCTCTTGCTGCACCAAAACACTTGTAGTTGTGGTAATTAAATAGATAAACCTGGATTACAGCATTACAGTTATGGATGCATTTGTAGCAATACTCTGGTAGTACTCTGGGTCTGATCAACCTTCTGCTGAACTGTCACTTTCTGAAAAATTGTTTAATTTCAGAAAATTTGAGCAGAGAAAAGAATTTACAAAAAATTCACTACTGTCTTGGAATGTTCTAAAGTTCAATTCTCTTTCAGAGTGGGAATGAATTATATTTAGAGAGAGAGAGGGAGAGCACAGTGGCATACAATTTATGGCTGTGATTTGGGCCAAAACTAAGGATTCCCATACCAGATGGCTCTATTCAGTCATGTTGTGGCAACATAATTTCAAAATTACTGTGCTATGAGCATACAATTTTGAAAAGAAAATCAGCAAGTTCAAACAAAATCCTGAACAAAGCTCTGCTAGGTATCCTAAATAATCTTTTAAAATAGTATGGCTGAAAGACTGTAATAAACTGTTTATTTCCAACATACCAAAGCACCTTTGCTTATTTATCTAATGAATTTTACTGTTTTCTCTCTCTTGAAATAGGTGCCTAATTTTAGTGCAGTTTGCCTAAGAATTTCTGTAGAAATAGAGATTTTAATTTGTTGCATTAATAAATGATGTGCAGATTTATGTCAATACAGTGATAGCATTTAAAGGAGACTTAAAGCTATATAATTATAAGGAGACTTAATTTTTAATTTTTCAAAAATAATTATTTCAGAGCTGTATTGGGGTAGGTTACTGGGCTTTTCTAAACAAAAATCCCTAGATGAAAACTTGAACAAAAACCGTTGGAAATAAGTTATGATTGCTTTAGCAGATATTCTGTATAAAAGATGCCTTGCTTTTGATTATACTGGGTGAAATCTGTCATCCTGTGGTATCCCAAACAATTCTGCGCTGTGTAATTGTTTCCTCGTTGACTCAGTCACTCCTGCTGTGATTCTGTTCATCTGCACCACAAATGGTTAGCACAAGCTGGAAAATGAGAAGCTATAGTGCTTAAATGCTGTTGGTTTATGCTATTTAAGGGTGAATTCTTCAGTGGTCAATGGAAAATGAGCATGTAATATTAAATTCCAGGTTCTGCGTGTTTTTCTATTTTGCTAGAGCATGTACGGTTAGGTTCAGCCAACTTTCCATCTGGCACGTTCTTCAAATACAGTTGTGAAATGGGATAATGGTAGAGCCAGTTCATGTTGGACTGGCTACTAGAACTGAAACCATAATTAATCAGCAAATAAATACTTACAAACAATGTTTCTAATTGACAGGGTTTCATGCGTTGAGGCAGAATCTCAGTGTGTTGTTAATTACCTTTACTTATTGTGGAAGGTAAATTTGCCTCACCTAGTTTTTAAGTAACCTATATAGTACTGTTCATCTTTAGTATTATAATTTGAAGATTAATAATCAAATTAATTTTGAAAGCATTGTTAGCTTCTATTTAATTATGGATGCTCAGCCAGTATCAGTAATCTTCAGCTGATCTTTTTTTAGGATGCTATGAATGGTTATGAAGAGTACATCGTAAGTTTAGTGATTTAAGGTGCACATGACTTGGTAACTCGATAAGGACTGATGTTTACCTTGTAGTAATACTTATCCTGATATCTGTAGGAATCTCTAATGTGAAAATTCTTATTCTGTCTTTGACTGTGTTGATTTTCTTCTAAACATGAACAACCTGAAGGGTGTATTTCTGAGTCTGCAGACTGGCAATTTCTCTGTGTTTTATTTTGCAGTATCAAAGTACGATTCCAAAGCATGTATTCATTTTCAGAGCTACTATTTAAGAATCTTATGATCAACAGTGAAATTCTTAAATAATAACTTGGGTGAGCCTATGAGCCCCAAGAAGTGCATGTAGTAGAGATTATGAGCAGAAGAAGGAACTTAAAGAGCAGAATAATGGACTTTATCTTTCTTTCTTCTCGCTTCAGTGTTTCAGTAGCTATATGTCTACCCCCCTCCATGATAAGGAAGCTGTAGAAACAGAAGATACAGAAAGTTTCTTCTGCCTATGTACAACTAAAGATGAGAGGAGTTCTGTGTAAATTCTACCTGCAATCAGGCTTCTAGTAGCCAAGCCTGCTAACAGTTGTAAGTCAGGAGCACAGGCGGTGTTTTCCTCTATCCTTTCAGTCACAGGGCATGATGAGGGAGGAGACAGGAAGAGCCAGCAAATCAATGCCTGGCTCAGAGACTGGAGTAATTTTCGGTTCTTTGAGCATGGGTGGGTGTACAGGGCACCAGGCCTGCTGGCATCTAGCAGGGGCCACCTGTATCATAGGGGGAAAAGGACCCTGGCTCAGGAGTTAGCAGGGCTCATTGACAGGGCTTTAAACTAGGTTTCAAGAGGGAAGGGGATAAAGCCAGCTTCAATGGAGGCAAGGCTGGGGCAGCACACGAGTGTTTGAGGGGTGCTGTGATAGCAGGGTCCTTAAGTCTGGTGTCCCAGGGATGTAAGAGCCAGGAATCCAGATGGCAGCAGAGAAACAAGGTGTTTGATGAGGCAGGAACCATAGAGGCTCCCAAGAATCACCATGAGGGAATTAGGGCTTCTCCCTCTGATAGGATGATGGGACCAGAAGCCCAGCTGAAGTGCATCTACACAAATGCACGCAGCATAGGCAACAAACAGGAGGAGCTGGTAGCCACCGTGCAGCAGGAAAACTATGATATAGCAGCCATCACAGAAATGTGGTGGGATGCCTCACATGACTGGAGTGCTCCAGTGGATGGCTACAAACTCTTCAGAAGAGATAGACAAGGAAGAAGAGGAGGTGGGGTAGCCCTTTATGTCAAGGAGTGTTTTGATTGCCTGGAGGTTAGTGATGGTGATGACAGGGTTGAGTGTCTGTGGGTAAGAATCAGGGGAAAGACCAACGAGGCAGATATCATGGTGGGGGTCTGCTATAGACCACCCAACCAAGGTGAGGAGGTAGATGAAATATTCTGTAAGCAGATAGGGGATGTCTCAGGATCACTGGCCCTTGTTCTTGTGGGGGACTGCAGCTTGCCAGATGTCTGCTGGAAATACAACACAGCAGAGAGGGGACAGTCTTGGAGGTTCCTGGAGTGTATGGAAGACAACTTCCTGACACAGCTGGTGAGGGAACCGACCAGGGAAGGTGCCCCATTGGACCTGTTATTCACTAACAGGGAAGGACTGGTGGGTGAAGTGGTGGTTGGAGGCCGTCTTGGGCACAGTGATCATGAGATGATACAGTTTTCTGTTCTTGGGGAAGTCAGGAGAGGGGTCAGCAGGATTGCTACCTTGGACTTTCAGAGGGTAGACTTTGGGCTGTTCAGGAGTCTGGTTGGCAGAGTCCCTTGGGAGACAGTCCTGAAGGGCAAAGGAGTCCTGTGGAAGAAGGGACAAGCAACTCATGAGGACTACAAGGACCTTGTGAGGCTATGCAGAGAGAAAATCAGAGTCCAGAGCCCAGCTAGAACTCAATCTAGCTGCATCAGTAAAAGCCAATAAAAAATGCTTCTATAAATACAGTAGTAACAAAAGGAGAGCTGAGGAGAATCTTCATCCTTTGTTGGATACACAGGGAAGCATTGTGACAAACCATGAGGAAAAGGCTGAGGTACTTAATGCCTTCTTTGTCTTGGTCTTTAATGGTAAGGCAGGCTGCTCTCTGAATACACAGGCCCCTGAGCTGGCAGACAGGACTGAGGAGCAGAATGATGCCCCCATAATCCAAGGGGAAATGGTTACTGACCTGTTGCACCACTTAGACATCCATGTCTGTGGGGCCAGATGGTATCCAGCCCAGGGTACTGAGGGAGCTGGGGAAAGTGCTCACCAAGCCACGCTCCGTCATTTATCGGCTGTCCTGGCAAACCAGGGAGGT